CCAAGCAGCATCAGAGGAGCAGGAATGCTGACGTTTCGGGCCTGGACTTTCTGAAGAAGGGTGTAGGCCCGAAACGTCAGCCTTCCTACTCCTCTGATGCCGCTTGGCCTGCTGTGTTCATCCAGCTCTACACCTTGTTATCTCAGATTCTCCAGCATCTGCAGTTCCTACTATCTCTGTTTAGGACTAATGATAGCTTCTAACTTCCTTATCCTCTCTAAGAAAGCTCATGCAGGCCCATGCCTTCCACAGGGCATGGAACAATGTTCTCAGTTAGCACCCAGGATATCCTTATGCCTTCTCCCACCCACTAAATATTTAATAACCATTCCTCACCTACAGGTCACATAAGCTGTCACTCTGTAGTGAATGTACAAACACAGGCTATTTTACTGTGAAAGAGATCACAGGCATGCTTGATTTTAATCTGTGCTTGACATCTACACGAGGGACAATTAGAAAGCAATCAAAAATGCAAGTCCCAGCCCTCTCCTCAGATCAAGGCCAAGTGCAGCACCCTTGAGTGAGCAGGAGACTCAGCACAGACCGAGATTTGACCTCTGAACCATCTGCTCAGCCTCCAGGCAGCATTTTCATGCAGTCTCCAGGATTTGACACCTTTCTTACTTCTCAACATTGGGTTATATAGCAGGCACACTTTACCTCAGATGCACGTTTTCATTACTGTTCACGCTGAAGCTGGTGCTGCTGTTGTTAGAAGGACCACAGATTTTCATTCTATATCCTTTATTTTGGCCATTGGTGCCGAGTGTTGGTGAGGAGTCCCTCCTCCTCTCCAAGTGAGGCGGTGTCCGGTCGAATACCCGGCTGTTGTACTCCTGCAGTCCACAGTAGGTGGCTGAGGTCTGCATTGGTTTCTGGGGTTTCTCTCTCTGCGGTGCTGGTCTTGCGGATTTAGTTGTTGCTGTGCCTGAAGCAAATGAACTAGATGCATGAAGGGTGGTGTCAATGCCGCTGTCACTGGATGCTCCTTTCGCAGAGGTCTCAAGGTCAACCTCCATATGGTCAGACCATCTTTCATCACTGTGGCTGCTGGAGGCATTGCTAGACAGAGTATTGCTACTTGACTGGCTTGAGTAGTGAGCATCACCCTGTTAAGCAGTAGACAAAATTAGAATCACAACTGCAGACTGTGCACAGCCCTTTGAGAACGCTCAACAGACAGCCCAGAGAATTATTCCAGGCAAGGGTCAAGGCAAATGGGGCAAATGCAGTTCCGGGGAAAAATGAGAAAATGCAAATCCAAAATTAGGTCAAACTCCAATCAATTGCAATTTCTAGTTTGTTTAATACACTGCACAGTATGGAACAAAAACAGCAAGGTGGTGCTTGGTTTGAGTTAATACGATTTCAGCTAAACCAGTTATAAAAAGGTATTACGATTAGCTTCCATATCTAGCAGTATTACATAATTCCAAATGCTGACCACTATCAGTTATTGGTGAAAAGCAGAATTATTGGTGTCCTTCCAAACCCAAACCAGCCATTCCACACCACTATATTCACCAAGTGGAGGTAGTAGAATAATGGTAATGTCACTGGGATAGTATTCTAGAGACCCAAATTGGCTTGAATTTTGCCATGGTAGATAGAGAAGTTTGAATACAATAAAGAAAATCTGGAATTAAAAGCTAGTCTAATGGTGACTATTAATGACTGTTGATTGTGAAAATTCCATCTGGTTCACAATGTTCTTTCGGGAACGAAATCTGTTCTTAACTAAGATAACAAGGTGTAGAGCTGGATGAACACAGCAGGCCAAGCAGCATCAGAGGAGCAGGAAAGCTGACGTTTCAGGTCTAGACCCTTCTTCAAGCTCTACACCTTGTTATCTCAGATTCTCCAGCATCTGCAGATCCTACTATCTCTGCTCTTAACTAATCTGGCCTATGTGTGACTCCAGACCCAAAGTAATGTGATGAATTCTTAACTGCCTCCTGGCTCTCAAGGTCATTTCAATCAGTTAAGGACAACTGAGGAGAGGCAAAGTCAGCCTTGCCAACAAGGCCAACATCCCAACAAGAATAATAATGAAACAAAGGGTACCAAACCTTTCCTTCACTGTCACTAGGTCAAAATCCTGGAATTCCTTCCCTCATGGCATTTTTGGGTCAACCCACTGCAGGTGGTCTGCAACAGTTCAAGAAGGCAGCTCACCATCACCTTCTCAAGGGCAACTAGGGATGTGCAATAAATGCTGGCCAGCCAGTGACTCCCACATCCCACAAATGAATTTTTAAAAAAAGCCTGGTTGAAACAAGGGGTGGAGAGTCGATGTTGATCTTTTAGGGTGCTGCAGAATCAATGTGTTTAGGAGTAAAGGCTAGCATATATATACAGAGCCTTTCACAATATCAAGATATGTGAAGAACTTTACAGCTAAAAAAGTACTTTTGAAGTACAGTCAATGCCGTAATGTAGGAGATGAGACAGTTAATTTACACAGAGCAAGCTCCCACAAATTGACATCACAAGCAGATCCTCTGCTTTGAGATACTACTTAAAGGCTAGTTATTGATCATAATACCAGGGATCATTCATCTTTTCTTCAAAATATTGACTGGAATCTTCAAGAGGGCACATAGACATTCTTCCAGTGTCTGCGTGGGTTTCCTCCGGGTGCTCCGGTTTCCTCCCACAGTCCAAAGATGTGCAGGTTAGGATGGATTGGCTGTGGGAAATTGCCCATAGTGTTCAGGGATGTGTAGATTAGGTGAGTTAGAGGGGGATGGGCTTGGGTGGGTGCTCTGAGGGTTGGTGTGGACCTGTTGGGTCAAAAGGGATTCTATGAAAGATACTTGGTTCAACAGTTCATCTGAAAGATGGCACCTCTGATAGTGCAGACTCCCTCAATAATGCACTGGGTGTCTTATGCCAAGTGACCAAGTCCCTGGAGCGGGACATGACCTTTTGACCGAGTGTGCTACCAACTGAACTACAGCTGACACCTTGGATCTTGAAAACTAGCATTCTTTCTTTAATAGGAATTTGGTTAAAAAAAAAATTGCTAACCTTTAATGCAATTGACAATAGCAATGGGTTTGGCAGAACATGTTAGCTAGGCAACAGCTTTATAGGCAGAAGCTATACACAAATCTTAAAAACTTTAAAAGGATACATGCTGTTGCTTACTTTGGAATGTCTATTGGGGGAATCCTTGCCTGCTAGCTCTTGTCTAGGGAGACGCTTATTGATATTGTTTCCAGAAGGTGAGTACACTTTGGGCATGGTTGGTACGTGCCACACAGGATCTGAAATTGAAGAATTACAGTTTTAATCACAATAACACTTTATTAATGCAAATAGCTTGCAAAGAGATTATTGCAATAGTTTATGTTGCTCTTTCAAACTGAAAATGTATGAGAGTCACAGAGTGGCTAAGAACAGGGCACAAGTGGTGAATCTATTACTGTTCATGTTTCTTTTGGGCAATTATTTCTTGTTTCTCCCATATTGATTGTGCATATACTGTCACTAAGATTTCCTTACTGCTACTGGTATCACTCGTGGTGTGGTAACTTCGAAAGCCTAGGCAGGCTTTTTAACCATGGGAAGACTTGCAGAGGACTGGAAATCAAAAGGGAAGGAACAAAGAACAATACAGCATACGAACAGGCCCTTCGGCCTTCCAACCCAGCACTGACACATTTTGCCCTTTCATACTAAAACAACTGTATTCACTTCCATGATCCGCATCCCCCTATTCCTGTCCTATTCATGTATTCGTCCAGATGCCTCTTGAACGCTGCTATTGGGCCTGCTTCCACCACCTCCTCTGGTAGCACATTCCAGACACTCCCCACCCTTTGTGTGAGAAACATGCCTCGCACATGTCTTTTAAACTTTCCCCCTCGCACTCTAACCTGCGTCCCCTAGTAATTGATCCCTCCATCCTGGAAAAAACCTCATGCTTTCCACTCTCCATGCCATTCACAACCTTGGAAATCCAGTCTATCTAACCTTTCTTCATAGCTAAAATCCCCCATACCAGGCAGCATCCTAGTAAACCTTTTCTGTACCCTCTCCAAAGTATCTACATCCTTCTGGTAATGTGGTGACCAGAACTGTACACAATATTCCAAATGTGGCCTAACTAAAGTTCTATAAAGCTGCAGCATAACTTGCCCATCCTTACACTCAATGCCCCTTCCAATGAAGGCAAGCATGCCATAGGCCTTTACTACATTATCTACCTGTGCTGCTACCTTCATTGATGCGTGGACCCGCACACCCAGATCCCTCTGCATATCAATACTCCTAAGGGTTCTGCCATTCACTGTATAATTTCCACCTGTACTTGACCTTTTAAAATGCATCACCTCACATCTGTCCAGATTAAACTCCATTTGCCATTTTTCTGCCCATGTCTCCAACTGATCTACATCCAGCTGAATCCTCTGACAATCCTCCCCACAATCTGCAACTCCACCAATCTTTGTATCATCTGCAAACCCAATTAGACCAGCTATGTTCTCCTCCAAATCATTTATGTAGATCATGAACAGAGGTCCCAGCACGGATCCCTATGGAACAGCACTAGTCACTGCCCTCTGTTCCGAAAAGCATCCTTCCACCACTACCTTCTGTGTCCTATGACTAAGCCAGTGCTGTATCCATCTTGCCAGCTCACCCCTGATATCCTGTGACTTTCACTTTTTGCACCAGTCTGCCATTAGATGCTGAAGTGAAAAGTGATGCTTCAGTTGTACATGTCCTTGATCAGTCCCTTTCTGGAGAATTGAAACAAGGTAAATTAAATTTATGTTCCGATTGTCATTTTTGGTTCATTTAATATACTGTACAGTATGGAACAATTCCTATGGGGCAAAGAGCCGCAGAGGTCAAATTAATACGATCTCAGCTGAATCAGTAATACAGATAGTAATATTATACCTGTACCTAAAACTGTTCCATATGCTGACTATCAAAACCAGAGTTAATGGTACCCCTTTAAATCCAAAAATATGTTATATTGGATAATTGTTCTCAGTTTGGGCACTAACTGCAGGAAAGATGCATTAACCTTGGAGAGGGTATACAGCAGATTCATCAGAATGAGATTGAGTTTTAAAGCTATTTTATGGGGATTGATTAATTTGGTTTACATGCTCTTGACTCTGTAGGCTGAGGCTGGATCTAAATCAATGTATTTAAAATGTTAACAGGACTACAAAAGAAAAGACACAGAATTAAACATATCCTCAAACATGAAAGCCTATAAACAAGGTGGCACCATTTTAAAATGGAAGCTAGAATATTAACAGTGCTTTCAGACTTCACACTCTCGTACCATGGCCAATGGAAATCCAGAACTCTTCTTGAAGGACTTCAGGTCAATGACTACTTCCAAACCCGGGATGGAGATTTTTCCTAGTTACATGCAGCAAAGTAGGGCTAAATTGGGTTGATTCATAGATCAGGCACTGAATGGCAGAACAGGCTCAAGGGGCTGAATGGCCTATATGTCTTCCTATATTCTCACCCAATGCCTGCCCACATCCAACTAAAATTTCCTTTCTCTAATCCTTGGTCTACTAAAGTTGACTGTGGCGTTCCCTCTACCTCTCAGGTTGGGGTCAACCACGTCAGCACAGTACATGAGTCAGTAGAATTGACAGAGGACCACTTGTGTTCTGCAGCCATTACCAGTACAAACACAGCTGTGCTGGTCAGATATTATTCTTTAATTAAACCCTTAAGAGTTGCAATCCAATACAGAACAAATCCTTCCTCAAACTATTTTACAACGCTTCCTTCAAGTAAAAGAGCGGCAGGGCGAAGAGGGGAGGGAGTTAGAAATGAAACTAACAAAATTCTCTTGTGGTTGACAATTCAAAAATGAGCAGTGAAGAGATTCTGACAGCGTGATATTTTCAGCAAAAGTTGCTGTTGACAGACTGGGCTGGCCTATCTCTGCAGTACATTACAATTATAGCACATTTCAAAACAACATCTTCGAAAAGCTGCCTGGTATTTGTAACTGATTCTACACTCCCCTTCAACTATGGGCTTCTCCTACATACAGAAGATAATGGCCCAAGTCCACACACCTTCTAAATGTCCTATTTAAAACACTGCGGCTTTATGTAATGGTCATACAGACAGAACTGTCAAGATTAGAACTGTTTGAAATTGGAGATATTGCCTTGCAATAAAAACACATTTAATTGAAAGTGTAAGACTGTAAGAGTCACATAGGTACACTGTTTGTTTTTCTCTCTCCACAACCTACTTGGCTGAGATTGCAGGTGAGCTGGAAGAAGCAAATGCCATAAGACGTGCTATAAATATGGAACTCAGTCTCTGCAGCAGCAGTGAAAGCACTCTATTCCAATGATAGCACAAGGCACAACTCCTAACACCTTGTCATAAAACAGACTGTACTGCCTTGTACCTTGTTATGCAGTCATAACGCCCCTACCAATGGGCCAAAAGATTCAGTTTCAAGTCCCACCTGCCTCAGACGTGGGTCGTAACATGTCTGAACAGGTTGATTAAAAAATCCAAAGCTAGAACACAGACCAATACCAGAATTAGAAACAAAAACAGCATCTTTAGGTTGTCTGTGGTGCAGTGGTAGTGGCCCTACCCAAGCCAGAAGACTTGGGTTCAAGTCCCATTTGCTCCAGGAAGTGGTAATAACATTTCTGAACAAGTTAATTAAAAGTATCCATATGACCTTGGGTCAATGTGCGAGGAGTCGAGATTACTGCACTCACACCATGTAAATCCATTACAGATCAAAAGCAGTAAAAAGCAATGCTACATATCTAATTTAAATCCAGGTTTGAGGTGAAACAATAATGAAACAGTGGTTAACTAATGACTGCATAGCAGAATATTACATTAAAAAATAATTACTTTTGTTCTGTTTGCTTTCTGAAAGAAAATTCTCAAGTTTGATTGAAGAACAGCCAATTAACTAATGAGGAATTGATTTTTTCATAATAAATGGACAAATTAATGCAAATGGGTTCAAACAGTCCTACATGACAGCAATAATTAAAATCAATGTGTTGGCACTTTCTTCTGCCAGTGGTAAAAGAACACAGGGCTGCTCGTGCCTAGGGAACTCAGACAGGCAGTAAACACGCAAATGTTTGCACCATCAACTATAAATCATTACCATTCTTATTTCGCTCAATTGTGCTGTCCTGGCTGGTTAATCCTCCAGATGAAGAGTCACCACTTGACATCACATCATCTCTGTTGTGATACTCATAAGGCGCAACTGGGCGTTGGCTTGCTCCTCCACCAAACCTGTCAGTGAAACAAGCGTAGAACATGCTGCAGTTGAAGGTCAAAAACGTAAACATAGGTGCTGCGAAAAAAACATAGGGCATGTAAAAGCTAAATGGTCCAAGGTTTAACTAATAAGAAAATTGGTCATTCAAAAGAATTGACTTTTGCAGCAATTGTCTTAAGTTAACTTCAGTCTAAGGTTGCCATTTGTATTAAATGCGATACATAAAACAAATCTAATAGGAAGGTTTAACATCTTCAACATCAGCCTAGGCTTCTCTACATAAATACTGCCTGCGGAATGAGGTCATCTTTTTGAATAGGTTGGTGTTGGGGGAGAAAAGTACAGAATGGGAATGGACTAAAATATTAGAATATTTTCAGCACAGAAGATAAGGTTATTCTACTGTCTCTATGTAGTGCTCTCTGTATAAAAAGTTTTATCACTGCCCAGCATCAAAAATTTGAGACTCTGCTTCCAGTTAACTAACAATGTCTATAACCTTTAAAATCCTGTCACCATAAGACCAATTAAGTCAATTCATCTTTGGTAACAGCATCTTTATAGCTCTATTTTCCAACTTTGTAACAATCCATTTTTGGCAAGCCCTGTTAAATGCCAGAGATCCAAGATACACTATCAAAACAAGAAATCTACCATTAATCCATTATATGTTGAGTCTTTTATGATCATCAAACTGTTGTTTGAGGGTTACCTTCCATTTTCAAATATCATCATAATTTCTGTTCCTAATCTCTACTGGTCATGCACCAACTATGATGGTTTTGTATCACATATTTTAATGCCACTCTGAACCTGACATTTGGATACTGTACTTGAAGTAACACTGTTCACCACTAATGCACATCCAGAACTCACCAAGGATCCTTATACAGCATCTTCCAAACCTGCGTTCTCCATCATCTAGAAGGCAAGGGCAAATGCAAAGAAACTCACGGACCTGCAAGTTCCCCTCCAAGTCACGCACCATCCTGACTTGGAAATATATTGCTGTTCCTTCAGCGTCACTGGGTCAAAATCCTGGAACTCCCCAAGAGCATTGTGGGTGTACCCACATCACACAGTTGGCAGCAGTTTAAGGTGCCAGCTTACCAGCCTCTCAAGGGCAGTAGGGATGGACAGTAAGTACTAACCTACCCAGTGACTCCTACATCCTGTGAAAGATTTTTTAACAAGTGACCAGTGTCTGTTTTCTTTTTCTTCACTTGCCTCAATTTGAACGCAAGTGGAGTGCCCCACTACGCTGCACAGTTGGTCTTCTGAAGTTACAGGAATATCAGTTCTTCCAAAATAGAGCCTGCATACAAGGACAGATGAAAGATTTCTTTCACAGCATGGACCACAGATGCAGGTGTTGTGAATTTTCAGTTTATTTTTAAATTTCTTTCAGTTTTGATTTTTAATCTCAAGCTTCACACAAGGCAAGAGGCCACTCTTTATATTTCTGTGCAGAGGTAAGACTCTGCAGGTCCTGGAAACCTGAAATGCAAATATAAAACACTGGAAATACTCACCATGCCTGGCAGCATCTGTGGAGAGTGAGAGAGAATCAGGACAGTCTAATCAGAGGTTAACAATCTGAGGTGTTAACTCTGCTTCCAGCATTGTGCTTATATTCCACAATACGCCTTGTTTACAGCCAAGACAAATAATGTTTATCTGCGCACATGCATTGGAATTCAAGTGATCACGCTAAACAAGAGCAGGAACATTGTGTTTTTTTTTCTGGCTTTGTTTTTAATTTCTTACACCATGTGTTGACAAGTCGTATGACTTTTATTGTAGTACTGCCATTATCTCACCTTTATGACCATTTAACACAAAGCAGCTCTTCTGTTACAGAGTTGACTTCACAAGAAGACCATAACCTTCCCTTTGAACAGTTTGTTCAGCAAACACAGGTCAAAGGGCTATATAATTGGCATTTAATGAAAGACCAGGTCAGTTTTTGTTTGGGTGATATTAAATTGAAGATTAGGAAGTTTCGGGGAACAGAACACTTCTTCTACAGAGAATACGCATCAATACCCTACATTCACAGGGCATGGAGGCAGAACGCATGCCAGCAGATAGAGAAGCATAGTTTTACCATGCATTCAACGAGTATGGATTCATTGCTAACACGTTCAAGAATATATCCAGGAGAACAGACCGAGCAGAACAGTGTGTAATTCCTGACAGATTCCAAGTGTATTTGATCACATGCTGACTTTCTACTGCACCACTGGACCAGTTGATTGGTCCATTTCCATATTGGACAGGCATAGCTGAATGTCAGTAGGACAGCCATTCCATGCTACCCAAGTCCAAAATCCTTCCAAAGAAAACTTCCAAGTAGACACAGCCAGACAAAAAATGTTCAAGGGGGGTGGAAAAAAAAAGAGACCAGACTATTGTCATAGTGTTGGACACTTACAGCTCATTTACAACTTTTTTTTAATGATTCACCCAAAACATTTCAGCACCAATAAATTGATGGGCAGATTTAAACACGTAAACCTATTTCACAAGTTCCCTACTTTCACCTATTTCCTAAACAGTATCTTTGCACAGCAACAAATTAAATCAACCATATGTTTGGGGTTGTCTAAGCTGTTCTCTAATAAAATGTCAACATTTCGTAGAGGCATTGGGATTTATTGAATTATGTGACAGAGCCAGGATGGATTAGATGGACTGACTGGCCATCTTCTGTACCACAATGAATCTATGAAGCTGATTAGTAGTACCATTTCCTGTCAAGGCCCTTTAAGATCATGAATATCACTATGTCACTATGTCACAAAGGGCTTTGGTTTCTTCCATCATAGCCTCAGTAAAAATTCCCTGAAATTGCAGCTACCCACAAACATTTTATATTTTAGCTCAGAGGCCCAATTGGGGTATTTGGTATTGCTGCATGGTTGGATAAACAAAAACAAATCCAAAATCAGTCATGCAATACAGCATTAGAAAGTTTGTTACTTGAAAAACTAGTTTGCTGTTTGACAAGATCCAATTGATAATGGTTGGTTGCAAGCTGCCTTAAGTGCTGAACTGCGTCCAAAGACTTAATTACATGAACAACTTGCATTTGACCCTGCTAAAAGGAAGCAACCTGCAAAAGGTTTCCACTGTGCTTCTAAATGGTATTGCAATTTTAAAATTCCCGATCAGTTGCATGACTCAGCTGTCTGAAATGTCAAATTTGAACGAGTCAATATTACACACAAGCAGAAAGAAACCCTTCGCCTTGATGGAGGCAATGACTGGGGGAATAGATTTAAGGGACAGGAGGTTTAGAGGGTATGTGAGGAAATATTCATTTCACTCAGTGGGTGGTGGGATTCCGAAACACACTGCCTATAAGGGTGGTAGAGGCCTGTAACCTCAGAGGGTTTCTGCCAAGTGTTGGAAAATGAAATTAGACAAATTAGATGGTTGTTTTTGACGAGCATGCATGCGATGCATTTTTTCTGCTGCAGATCTCTTGACTATAAACTTCACTAGTATGCAAACACAAAATATTAGCCTGTGATTATTTCACAATTACAGATGCAATGAAAGTTCTGTTCACAGAAATCTAACAATCCAAGTGAAAGCAGAATCATAAATGACATGTCTGAAATTGAAACTTTAGTTCATGTTTTCTCTTATTAGGATTCAATGGTCATTCTAATACTTCTGATTACTTTAGGTCTACAAGAATCGCAGCTTTGTCAACATAGTTAGTACTTTACAAGGTAGGTCAGTGCCACAGTCAGGCATCCAAGTGCAGTGTTAGCTGTAGCTCAGTTGTGAACACACTAAGTCAAAGTTGTGGGTTTAAGCCCCACAGACCTGAACACAAACTGAGGGAGTAGTCCATTGTTGGACCTGTGCACAGACATGAGGGACTGCCTTCAGTCAAATGGGGCATTAAACACAGGTCGGATCAGGACTTTCAGTTGAATACAAAAAAATTTCAAGACTATTTCAAATAGCTCCCCATTGTTCTGATAATATCTATCCATCACCTATTTTCACTAAAAAAAAATCTGATCATTACATCATTATTTGTAGGACCTTACTGCATACACTTTCTGCAGGACATCAGTGACTGGCTGCACAGCTATAGCATTGGCTGTAAAGGCTTTACAGAAGTCAGTAACAAATGACGACAAATGGTGGAAATTTACTGCAATTTGAAATCAAAGACTAAGATTAGGAACTCTAAAGAGAGCTTGGAGCTCATGCCATCCTATTGCCCACTACTTAGATACATTGCTGTGCTACTCACTGCCAATATTTTTACACATACTTTCCATTTCCAAAATCAGAACACAAAGCAATAAAACCTTATAAATTTCGTGTTGTTATCTGGCATCTTCTCTAGCATAGCTATTACCTTAATTGAAAATGTTCCTTCATCAGGTGAAGTGAAGAAAAGCACACATGCACAGAATTTATAGGCAGAGAGATCAAAAGATCATACAAATGGTATGAATGGAGAGTCAACAGGCTGAATAAGAAGTCTCTGCAAGTGATCATAAGTGTCTGATGGTGTGAGTAAAGTGTCAAAGGCTGAATAGCAAATGAAGGGATGGCCTATAATCCGACTATTTGAGGTAGAGAGATAATTACAAAAAAAATTAAAAAATAAGGTGGTGCCAGAGAGAAACCAAATGGTTGGAATAACATGATAGGTATAACAGTCATTTGAGGACTCTGGCTCTATACACAATGGAGTTTAGAAGGATGAGGGGGATCTAATTGAAACTTACAGAGTATTGAACGGTCTGGACAGTGTGAATGTTGGGAAAATGGTTCCATTGGTGGGAGAGACTAGGACCCAAGGGCACAGCCTTAGGAGTAAAGGGAAGACCTTTTAGAATGGAGATAAGGAGAAATACCTTCAGCCAGAAAGGGATGAATCTGTGGAATTCATTGCCACAGAAGGCTGTGGAGGTCATTGAGTACATTTAAGATAGAGATAGATAGGTTCTTGACTGTCAAGGGTTATGGGGAGAAAGCAGAA